CGGCACACCCTCTTCCCACCCCTCCTCCACCGCGCAGCTCCCCTCCGTGTAGCCCGCGCAGCGGCGGAGTCTGCTCTCAGCACTGCCCAACTTTGCGCGGCTGCCTTTCCCCACGACCCCGCTCTTTGACCACAGCCTGCCACCTACCTTCGGGTCAGGATCAATCTGCAAGATTCCCACAGATGCCCCCCACTGTCTGCAGGACACACAGAGCTCCCAGAGGTTCCTGTCACCAATGCAGGCACCGTGAAGGGGCTCCTGAAGTCCACACAAGTTCCCTTCTCTGGACCCTCTTTAAAAACTCGGTGAAGGGGTCGGGGAGATGGCTCAGTAGAATAAGCCCTTCCCTAGCAAGCACAAGGGCCTGAGTTCAATCTGCGGTGGGGTGGGGGGGGGATATCGGTGAAAGGAGATGGTGCTGGCTTTCTCATAGGGAAGAGATGCTGAGGGGCAGGGCCCCCATCCCTCCCGCTCATGTGGCAACCCAACTTGAGCACTGCCTCTTACAGCATCAGAACACCTCCTCCTCCCAGGTCTCTGGGACCCCCAGACTTTTGTCCTGTCTGAGCACCCTCATGTCTGTCCCACATCATGCCCTCCCAGTCTGAATCCACACCTCTCTCCCCCAGCTCAAGGATTCTCAAACTTCTCCTGCCTCACTTTTCTCCTATGTGTGTGTGACTACATGTGTGTGAACACACACAGCCTTCATGAGCACTGATGTTCCTACATCTACCTCCCCGCACTGCCTTTTCCCCCTTACTCACTTTCCTCAGGCACCTGCTGCTCTGGGCCTCCTTCCCTAACAACCTTGATCACACTACTCACACCCAGGCGATGGAGGCAGGAGCCTCTGGGGAAGCTCCAGCCTGCAGGCTGCAGGTGGGAACCAGAAGGAAGACAGGCAAGGGGTGGACCCAGGTCCACGGGGGGGATGGAAGTCATCCCTGGGACACTTCACTGGGTTCTCCAGAGGGTTGTGCACGGCAGGTAGTGACAAGGGCCTAGAGACAAGGCCAGCGTCAGGCTCAACAAGCTGCTAACATCTTCCTATAACAGGCCGACTTTCTCTTTTAGAGGAGTCGTGGCCAGCTGGAGATCTGACCAACAATTTTTCCCCCTCTGTGCTGCTGGGAATTGAACCTAGGACCTTAAGAACATTAGACAAATTCTCTACCACTGAGTTATCCCCAGCCCCACCTTACCAACATTTTAAATCTGAAATGTCAGACCTCGTTGGTTTTTCTTTCATTATTACCCTTAGTGATTTTCCAACCCAGAAATATTTTTCCTTTTTGTTATATACAGAGCAATATTTCCAGGGGTGGGAGGGTAATGTGCAGCGCTGAACCTCTGGGCACACAGAACTGTCATGTGGCCATGCCTGTACTACTCATAACTAGCCTGCCACTGTCACTGCCTCAGAGCCACACCCAGGTACACACAGGGGTGAGCCGCACTTTCACAGCACAGCTTTGTGTTTTTGTTTTCTCTTCTCTGAAATGGTGATAATTCCAAATGGATGGCAGAATGTGAAGGCCATTGCACTTGCATCAGATGCCCCTGCACTAGGGTTTTACACTGAGCTATATCCCCCAGTTTTGCTTTGTTTTTGTTTTGAGACAGGTGGGTTTTGGGGTGTTTGTTTGTTTGTTTGTTTGTTTTGCGGAACCAGCGATTGAACTCAGGCCCTTGTGCTTGCCAGGCAAGTGCTTATTCTACTGAGCCATCTCCCCAGCTCTGTTAAGGCAGGTTCTTACTGTGTAGTTCAGGCTGGCCTTGAACTCTGGTCCTCCTGCCTCAGCTTCCTGAATCCTGGAATTACAGGCAGTTTTCACTATGCCTGGATACATTTAAAAAAAGTTTGTTTGAGACAGAGTCTCACTAAATTGCTAGACCACCTGGGCTGGGTTGGAACTTCTTGTGTGGCTGCCTCAGCCTGCCTTGGGGGCAATGCTGGCACAGCACATGGTGCCAGGGATTGGACCTTGGTCCCTGAGCTTGCCTGAGTGAGGGCTTTAGACAGCTGAGCTATCTCATGGCCCCTTGGCTGGGATTTTTAATCCTCCTGCCTCAGCCTCCCAGCATGCTGGGGCTGCTGCCAGGGCTATGGAAGGTGCTTTTGCTTTTGCATCAGTAGTGACAGAAAATGAGATTCAATATCTCTAGCACACAGCTGGGGAACCAATGTTGGAAGTGGAGACTCTTGCACTCAGCACAGCTGCCTGCCTGCTGGTGAGCTGCAGCTGGTCACAGCTAGCTGAACACAAGCCCAAGTTTGGGGCAGAGGTGTGGCAAGGCCCAGGCCTGGGAAGGCCTGGAAGCCTTTGTGCTAAGCAGCCTGCCCCATACCAAGGGCCCTGAGGAAGAGGAGGGAGACCCTTAGCTGGAGGATCTGCTAGGCCAGGCTAGGTTCCAGAAGCTGCAGGGTGATGCCAGGCACAGGGACAGACCTGTGTCTCAGCCTCTCCTGCCTGCCTTTGTCTCCTGGCCCTGAGTCCTGTCCCATACTGTCTCATGGGCCCTTTTGCTTATTGCTTGCCCCATTGATTGAAAGTCTGTCTCGGGTTCTCCAAGGAGTCCCAGGAAAAATGATCCGCCAGCCTATTGATTCTTCATTAGAATTACATTTTCACGTGTGCTAAATTGGTTTTAAAAGCTTTTTCTGTTGTTATTGTCTTGTCAGACCCTGCGGTCCAGGGCAAACCAAGTTTAAATGCTGTGGCTTCTTAGAGGGGAAAAATTACCAGGCCTAGGTCTGTGATTACAGGTTTTCATGATGACAATTGTGATTTCGTTTAAGTTTCTTTAGAGAAAGGGCCCTATGGAAGCCGCTCGCGCAGGATGGGGCTGGCTGGTAAGGAACCAAAGCCCCTGAAGGGCAGGCACAGAGCTGTTTTATTTTTCTGGAAAAAACTTAGCACTTGAACTTGTATTCATTGTTTTTGGGACAAGAGGAAAGATGAAAGCTTGTAAAAAGCACTTCATGTCCTTATTCCTCTTCTAAACTGGAAGGCAGCTGTGCTTACCGCTACCACCAATGTAGGCTCTCTTCTGAATTGAATAGAGGAGAAACAAAAATCTCAGCAGCACTTATTCTAGCTCCTTCTTCCTCCCTTCGTAGCAGGGGTGTGTGTGTGTGTGTGTGTGTGTGTGTGTGTGTGTGTTTTATACAGTGTTAAGGGAGAGGCCACCCTCCTGCTTCCCAACAGGGCAGAACTTTCTAGCAATGCCAAGGAAATTGCTATTGCTGCTCTGCCCAGAGAAGGTGGAGAGGACCCACATGAGGAAGGAGAGGGAGGAAGGGACTCAGGGATGGGTCTGAGGCCCAACTGGGAGAGGGAAGGTGCGTGGGAGAAAGGGAGGAGGAACTGGGGGACAGGAGGGAGAGAGACCTGGGGACAATGTGATGGACTAAAGTGGAAGAGCAAAGGACAGGGACAGGGGAAAGGAAGAGGGAAGACAGTAGAAATAACAAACAGGAAAGGAGAGGAGAAAAAAAAGTGTACAAAGCAAGGGAATGAGAAAAGATATAGGAAGTGAGTGAAAAAGATCAAAACAGGCAGCCCCAGGTGCTCTGAGGCCTTAAGTCAGCCCGGCCCCCAGCACAGCCCCCTCCTGGCCTGGCACCAGGGAGTGGGCACCATTGAGGAGCCCAGGCAGGATGGCTGAATGTCTCTGTGATGTGTTTATCCCCTAATCAGTTCATTAGTTATAAACAACATGACATTAGAAGTTAGTAGGCAGTTGATATTAATTTTTATTTAACTAGTTGATGTTTAATCCGTCACGCCAGGCTGCCTAGAGGCGAGAAAGATCTCCCTGACACAAAACCAGTTAGAACTTCATAAGATGCAATCAGTGTCCATGCTTGAAACAAACAAGAGAGACAGAGACACAGAGACAGAGATGGAGGTGGGTGCAGCAGCAGAGCGAGCCCCCTTCTGGTGGAACAGCCTGCAGTGGGAGTAGCTACAAAGACTTGCGATCTCCAGGGGCTGGCGGCTCTGCCCTGACAGACAATCGTCCAGGGTGCAGGCTGGCACCTTGGAAAGCCAGACCAGGCAGATGTGGGGCAGCGAACCTCGCTGCAGCAAGTGCCAGCGCCTTTCAGTAAGGAATTCCTCCGGTGTCCATTGTGGCAGGTGGCCAAAGACTAATGTCCCGGCAAGGCCCCACTTTTGGCAACTCTGGAGGCACGAATCTCCTCTTTGCTTCTGAGAGAGCAGGCCCACAGAGAAGAAAGGAGAAGTCTAGGAGTTTGCACCCAGCGCCCTTGAGGCTTGATTTGACAAAGTCTGCAGCGGCTCAGGCCAGAGCAGAGTGTGTGTGTGATTGCATGTGGAGCTAGGTCTGCCGGGACTGGCCCAGAGTGAAGAAGTGAAGGATGGTGGTGGGGTTCTGGAGGCCCCAAGGGCTTTTCTCGAGTTCTTTGTGCCTTTACAACTCCTTGCACCAAGACTTCCAGCAGAGACCAGCTGCTTACCTAGTGGTGCCGGTTGCCACTTTGAGGTCCCCAACGCGCATCGCAACGAACACTGGGCTTTTTCCACCCTCACCCTGGGCACCCGCGGGTCACGCCTGCCTGCGCAGCCCGCCGTGGGGGCGCGGGCGGTAGTTTTCCGCTGTGCCCTGGACAGTTTGGAGGGACAGAGGCATTCTCGCCAGCGCACAGACTCCAGCCGGCAAAACATCACGTTTGCATGTTAATCTGCCTCCACCGCGAAAAGGAAATCGCTGAAATTCCGAAGAAAATTGCTTCTCTCCAGCGGTTAATAGTTAACTCTGAAAGGAAAGTTCCCAGGGAAGGCCGAGAGCCAGGCAAGGGGCGCAGAGGCCCCGGCTGCAGCGCTGGGCCAGGGGCACCTCCCTCCGCGGCGCGCGGCCCTCGCCCCGTGATTAGCATCCTTTAGTTCACAAAACCCTTCCTAGGAGAAAATCTGTTCCCTCGTTCCGGGGCTCGGTTCAGCACCTGACTCCGCCGGGTGAGGCAAATAAATCACTGCGGCAGCGGGGGAGCGAGCCGAGCCGCCAGACGGGGACTTGGGAGGACGGCGAGGAGGAGGAGCGCGAAGGGAGCCCGGAGGGAGGACCCGGGACCGGGAGGCCGAGCCAGGGAGACTACGGAGACGGGCGAGGCTGGAAGGCAACGAAAGAGAGGGAAGATGCAGAGGGGAAGTGAAAGTTAGAGAGGCGAGCGAGGAGGAAGAAGAGGGAGGAGCCAGAGAATAAAGAAAATAGAGCCGGGGAGCAAAGGCCTCGCGTCTGCTGGTCGCCCGCGGCGCCGAGTTCGCTCCGCGCCTCGCCGGGGAGGCCGCGGGGATCCCGGCGGGCTGCAGCCCCGGGCGGGCCGAGGCCACACTGGACTCCCAGGTGAAGGCCGGGGCGCACGGCGCACGGCGCTGCTGGCCCTGGAAGGGGCGTTGGGGGGCAGCGTCCTGGGCGCAGGGAGGGGGAGGCGCGACGGGACGGAAGGCGCCCGCTGCTGCGTGGGCGGCACCCTCGCGGGGACCCGAGTCCTGCGCGCAGGGCGGAGGCAGGCCGGCGCGGACCCCGCGCCCGGGGCAGCTCCCGGAGAAGCCACCCCCGCCCCGCAGCGCCGCGGCAGGGAAGGCACGCCGCGAGCTCGCGGCCCCGCGTCAGCGGAGGGCGCACTTCCTGGCCGCCCCGCACCGGTTCGTGGTCCCGCGGAGGCCGCAGGCGCCCGGCGAGAGGAGGCTGGGAAGTGCAGAGCGGAGGCGAGGGAGGAGTGGCTGGCCCCAGAGGTCTGGCGCCCGCAGGAGACCGGTCTCAACGCTTGAGCGACGAGAGGAAGGCTTCCCAGCCTCCACACGGCTGCGCCAGCCTCTCTGTTTGCCTGCCCCATGCCAGACGCGGTCAGCAGGGGGAGTGGACGGAAGAAACCGTGCAGCCGGCGCAGTCAGCCCCGGGTTCTGTGCAGACGGGGCACAGCTGACTCCTAACGGAGCGCGGGCCAGTAGGCCTGGGGCTGCTCCTTGGGGGCTAGAGGCGAATTCCACCTGGCTGTCACTTCAAGGAGAGTCTTAGCTGGTGGCAAGCAGGAACTGCTCAGAGCCTCAAGATGTGTGCCACAGGGGTGAAGGGGCATGGGAGCTGAGGGGGGTAGGGAATACTCGCTAAAGGAGATGGGTTGGGGTGATTAGATACAACCAACTACAGGGAATAGGTTGGAAGGCATATTTCCGGCAGAAGGAAAGACAAGGGGCAGGAGCAACAATCTACCTCGTTCTGTGAAGCCAAAATGGGGCTTCAGGGCTGGGGCAAGGGTGCCAGGGCAAGTTCCAAAAGGACTTCTGGGGGCCAGGGAGATGGCTTAGGAGAATAAGCACATCCCTGGCAAGCGCAAGCAGGGGTCTGAGTTCAATCTCCGGTTCCAAAAAAAAAAAAAAAAAGACTTCTGCTGTCCTGCCTTAGGTTGTGAGAGCGCTGGAAGGATTTGGAGTTGAAGGTCTTTTGGGAGGTCCAGACTAAATTTCCAGAGAGTGAGCAGGACCAAGCATGGGTGGGGTGGCTAGGAGATAGCTCAGTAGAATAAGTGCCTGTCTGGCTAGTGCAGGGTCCTGAGTAACACACACACACACACACACACACACACACACACACTGAAGAAACAGTCCAGAGAGGAGAGAGTGGCTGAATGCTGACAGACTGCAGGTGCGTGTGTTCAGAGTCACGTACTGAGTTAAGGTTCATGTGGGTTTCTGGGTTATTTCGGAACTTGTGGCAGTCCCCCTGCTTCTGCCTACCAAGTTCTCAGGTTACAGGTCTGTGCCACCAAGCCTGGCTTAACTTCAATCTCAACTTCAGTCCCTCCCTTGTGTGCTCTGTCCCACACCCTCTCCCTCAGCAAACCCTGTCATACAGAGGTTATTGAGGTAGGAAACATGTATGGTCCTGGGGCAGCAGTTTGCGCCTCACCTCCCAAGACGGCAGAGAAAGCAACACCACAACGTGGCTGGATCCCTTGAAGGCACTATACCTAAATACTGACATCTGTAAAATAGGGACATGTGTTTCTGACTTACAGAACTGTTGGGTGGATTCATAAATTAACAGGGGCTGGAGAGATAGCTCAGTAGAATAAGTGCTTGCCTAGCAAGGGCCTGAGTTCAATCCCTGGTTCTGCAAAAAATAAATACATAGGTAAACAATTAACATATCCCTAGCACATGGTTGTTTGGCCCTGTTAGTTCATACCCCAACCCAACCCTAGACCTCTCCCCGTACTGGCTGGGCTGTGTCTCCTTTGTGGGTGCAGAGTGTCAGAGGAACCAAGTGCAGCACACTGGTATTCTGGAGAAGCTGTCAATCCAGGGGCCAGGGATTGTGCCCCACTAGGGCAAGGTTACTGGTGTTAACAGCCAACATGGAGAGCGCTCACATCTGAGTGCGTCATACTGGGTAATTCCTTGAATGGTCACCTACTGTTGTGAGCTGCATTCTACAGATGAGCAATTGAGACACAGAGAGTTTTAGTAATTCTTAAGCCCTGTAAGTAGGTGGTCATGGCAGGCTCATGCACCAAATAGGAGCTCTGTGACCTACACTCACAAGGCAGAGGGGTTGTGGCCCAGAGGACTCTTTTCAGCTTTCTATTTGGTGAAAACCAGGAGTTCTCCTCTCCTCTCTCTTCTACATCCACACACAGTCCTTTTACCACCTCACTGCTCTTTGCTATGCTCTGCCCAGGACCTCTAACTCTGAGAACCCGAACTGTTCTGGCTGCTGGAACCAGCCAGCCTAGTCAATGAGGCTGAAGTCTACTGAGCCCTCTCTGATGCCCCCAGAGCTTTGTATTGGGGGAGAGATTTCCCACCTGGCCTTTCCTCTCTGAGTGCTTTCTGGCTTTTCCAGCCAGTGTGGTGTGTGTGTGTGTGTGTGTGTGTGTGTGTGTGTGTGTGTGTCTGTCTGTCTGTCTGTCTGTCTGTCTTTCTGTCTGTCACCCCTCCATCCAAGGAACCAGCTGCCCTATACCACAGACTGGCACTCTGGGTGCCCAGTGAGGCAGCAGGAAAAACAGAGGCTGCATTTGGGACCTTAGGCTGTCTCTGAGAGGCCCTCACTGAGGCTGGCAAAGCCCTAGGCCCTCCTTGCTCTTCTGTACCAATTTTTATTTTTATTTATTTAGGTACCAGGAATGAACTCGTGACCTCCCACTTACCAGGTACGCTCTGTACCACTGAGCTATATCCCATGCCCTGCTCTTCTGGCATTGTCTAGGAGTTGCCTTTGTCAGAAGACAGAAGTTGAAGGTTTGCAGTGACCAGGTGGAAGCTACCCATGACTTCCCTAAACCAACCAGTTTAGAATTTGGCAGGCAGGAGTGTTTGTACACAGGGGAGAAAGATCTGGAGAGCAGTCTTTTTTTTTTTTTTTTTTTTTTTGTTTTCTTTTTCTTTTTTTCTTCATTCCCACCCAAAGGTACTCAATTGCCTCTTCCAGGTGATCTCTGAGTTCTTTTAAACAGGCACTGTACATGAGCTGATATTAGTCCCAAAGTGCCAAAAACACGTAGGGGCTCCTCTTTTAGGGTCTTCCTTCCCAGGGTGTGATCAGTCTCTGGAGCCCTTACCCTAAGACAGGGTTAGGCACCAACTGGCTCACTGAGAGCAGACACAGGGAGGGGCTTCATGGATGTGAATGGAGACAGGGGATTCCTCCTCTGGCCTCCCTGATCCCTCCCTGCCAAGGGAAGGTCGAGTATATCGAGGTGTGCATGGCCCACGACATCCAGATGTAAACTATCTCTTCTGGCCTCATCCTTCTGTACCAGGACACTGAAGCCTGGAAGTGTCTGCACACAGTGGGCTGCCCCACGCCCTAGCAGCTCCTTGTGCTCTTGTGATCTGGGGCACCTGTGGGAGCCGGGCGTTGGTGCGGAGAGGAGGTCCCTGGGAACCGGGCTGGGTCAGCCAAGGGGGGGAGAGGGCGTGGGCGAGCGCGTGTCGCTGCGGCCTCCGGAGCCCACCCGCCAATCGCCGGCGCTCCATTAATAATCATAAGCCCCCAGCTCACCCTCCTCTTAAAATTAATAACTCTGTAATTAGAGTCATTTCAGGAGCCTCCTGAGTCGCCAGGGCCGGCCGGGCCGCAAGGTGGGCAGGAGGAGGCGGAGGCGGGTGCGGGCCAACATCCGCAGGTAGGGAACGAGAATTAACACCGCTCCCCACAATCCAATACACTTTTTATCAGCCGTCTGTCTGAGAGCCAGGCCATTCATCATCCGAGGCATTCTCCCTGAAAACAAGACCCATTCAGATTTTATACAAATTATCATATTTATCATCGTCTCCAACTCCGGAGTAACATCTCCGCAAGTGTCTGCCATCTCCCCGGGGAGCCCGCGCCGCCCGCGAAGCGCCCTAGCGCAGCATGCAGGCTTGATCCGCTGTCTGATTCTCCGCGGCCCCAGGCTCTGTAGCAGACCCCAGACCACTTCTGTCTTGGGCAGGCATTCCCGCTGCCCACTCGTCTCCTCCATGAGGAGTCCTGCCTGCCCTGCACCCCCAAGGTCCTGGCTTCCCAGATTGAAGGAGGGGAGGCTCCCAGGCCAGCGGGAAGGACCGCTGCCTCCAGGGCGGGCTGTCCCCAGGACACAGCCAAGCTCCAGCTTTTGTGTGAGGGCCTGCAGCTTGGCCCCCAGAGAAAGCTGCAGCCTGAGCTGCCTCAGGGTTCTGGAGCTGTGCTGCCCCTGCTGTGGACCTGGTCACTCCTCCTTTGGGCCACTCTGGGCTTAGCTCAGCCCAGCAGCCCTTCCTCCAGGAGGGGACCTCCAGAGCGGAGCACTGATGGTGCACATATGCTGACACTAGCCATAGGTGGCTGCTGAGCACTTGAAAAGCATCCAATGTAAGTGGAGGATTATTTATTGAATTAAGCTGGTCTTTGGCATGACTGTGGCCGGTGGATACTGTGCTGACCAGCACAGCTCTGGTAGGCCAGTCAGTGTTCACTTTGTGGAAGAAGCCCCCCCTGCAGAGCTGTGCAAGGCCTGTGAGGAGGACAGAGCCCTTCGCTCCCGGTGTCAGCTGCTGCTGGCTCCCCAGCACCATGAGAACAAAGCCCCACTGCAGGTGAGCAGGAGACGTCAGGGAGCACAGTGACAGTTCCATCATGAGTGAGGATTTTGGCAGCAGAGACATCTGCAAATGTTCCTCCTATCTGACCAGCAGCTCAAGATACTTGGGAGGTGAGAAAATTTGGGATGAAAACAAGCAAGGAGGATCTGGCGCATCTGAAAGTTTCTTGCTTGCTTGATTTATGATGAGGATTGAACTCAGACCCTCAAGCATGCTAAGTGCATGCTCTACCATGGAGCTACACATGCAGCTCTGCAGGCAGCTGCCATGCCGAAGTGGGAGCTAGTGATATGACTCCTCAGCTCTCTTGCCTCAGCCTTCTGGAATTGTCAGCGTGTGCCATCATGCTTAGCAGTCATCCTTATTTATTTATTTATTTATTTTTTCTGGAACCAGGGATTGAACTCAGGCCCTTATGCTTGCCAGGGAAGCGCTTATTCCACTGAGCCATCTCCCCAGCCCCCTTTTTAATTTTTTGAGACAAGTATCAAGTTGGATTTGAACTCACTATGTACACTGGGCTGGCCTCAAACTTGTAGTGATCCCCTTGCCTCAGCCAACTGAGTGCTGGGATTACACATGATTTATCTGATTTTTTAAAAGGATGCTCAGAAATTTATTTAAAATTCTTTGGAGGCTGGTGACACACTCATGTAATCTCAACAATCAGGAGACTGAGGCATAAAGATCACTTCAAGCTCAAGGCCATCCTGGGCTACATAGTGAGTTCAAGGCCAGCCTGAATCACTTAGTGAGACCCTATCTCAAAAAAGTAAAAAAAAATGTTATTTTTTTATTTTTATTTTTTGGAAGAACCGGGGATTGAACTCAGGCCCTTGCACTTGCCAGGGAAGTGCTTATACCACTGAGCCATCTCCCTGGCCCCAAAATTTATTTATTTATTTATTTATTTATTTATTTATTTATTTATTTATTTGTTTATTTTTTGCAGAACCAGGGATTGAACTCAGGCCCTTGCGCTTGTCAGACAAGTGCTTATTCTACTGAGCTATCTCCCCGGCCCCCAAAAAGTAAAAAATTTAAAAACAAAGCACTTAGCTATGCAGATGAAAAAATGACAGATGTACAAGGATAGTTGTTGAAGCTGTCTTTGCAGGTCAGAAGTGTCTTTAGAAATACTAGAGTGGAGGGGCCGGGGAGATGGCTCAGTGGCATAAGTGCTTCACTGGCAAGCGCAATGGGCCTGAGTTCAATCCCTGGTTCTGCAAAAAAAAAAAGAAATACTAGAGTGGGGCCGGCCAAATAGCTCAGTGGTGCTGGCCCTGCCCTACAGGGTCTCACTACACAGTTGGACTCATAGTGATCCTCCAGGTTTTCAGTCTCCCAAGTGCTGGAATTACAGTTTTTTGCCACCACACCCAGTCTCATTCGCTGCCTTCACATGCCCCTGGGGGCGGAGCCAGCACAGCCTGCCCAGAATCCTCGAATTCTGGTCCCTGCAGTTGCCTAAGCAGGCGCTTTAATCTGCTGAGATATCTGGCCGGCCCCAAAGTAAATTAAGTGAGAAAAGTAAGCATGAAACGTGTTATTCACATGAGAGAAAAAGAGAATATACACACGTGCACACATCATGCATACCTGTGTAGATGATTCTGTAGTCATGCACAAAAAACTGGGCTCAGGGGCCAGGGAGATGGCTCAGTAGAACAAGCACTTGCCTGGCAAGCGCAAGGGCCTAAATTCAATCCCCAGGTTCCACAAAAAAGAAAAAAAGAAAAGAAACAAGAAACTGGGATCAGTGATCACCTCAAGTGCAAGGATGAAAGGGGGGCTGCTGTCTTCCCTGTCCCCTTATGTTGCTGTTTGTTCAACTGCATGAATCAGACCAAGAAGTCTGTGCACTCCAGCCTGGTGCTGTCCTGCAGAGCTACACCTCCAGCATCAGTTGCATGATGTATGACTTATGCATATGCAGTAAGACACCCTTTAGGCCTTTAACCTGGCTAGAGGCCCGTGTGGCTTATGGGGCACAGGTTTATAGGCTCCAGTCCTCAGTGTCCCTTCCAAGTATGACTTCTTGGACTCCTGTAGTGATGAGGAAGCTGGAGCTCATTTGGGCTCAGGTGAGCCACCGGGAGGTGGGGTCAGCCATGGTCACCTGCCTGGCATGTGCCTGGCTTCTACTGAGACTGCAGGTCAGAGGTGGAATCCCATACAATTGGCTAGTGGGACAGCTTCCTTTCTAAGTCATGTCCCAGCTCGTAGGCCAGAACACCACACTGCCTCTTTGCAGAAGAGCGGGGAGCAAGGCTCATAACACTCATAATGTGATGTCAGGGCCAGGGAGATGGCTCAGCGGAATAAGTGCTTCCCTGGCAAGCACAAGAGCATGAGTTCAATCCCTAGTTCTGCAAAAAAATAATAATAATAATAATAATAATAATATGATGTCAACATTTACTGAGAATGTAAATGTGCACAGGGCCTCTGTGCCAGGCACTGTAATACATAATCCTCAAAGCAACCTTATCAGATACCATTATTGGCCCGTTTAGTAGATGGAAATGCTAAAGCAGAGAAGTAAATTATGGTGCCTAGAGATAAACTGGCCAGGAAGTGGTAGAGCTGAGAGTCTAATCTGGGTATCCTAACTCCACAGTGTAGTCCTTAACTATTTCAATGCCCATAGTGGACTCTAATCTTTTTTTTTTTTTCAGTGCTGGGATCTGAATCTGTGCCTCACCCATGCTAGGCATATGCTCCACTGCCAAGCTATGGCCCAGCCCTATGTTTGTACCTCACTGTGACTCACCCCAAAAGTGCCTATCACCCCTCTTTGGAGCCTGCCAAAAATGCACACTGATCTCTCTAGTGTGGATACATGTACACCCATATTTGCCAAACACACCTGCACAGTGTGAGAGCAGATGCCTTGAGCGACAGGCTTCCAGGCAATCTGGGATTGGAGAAGCGGAAATGTAACTGCCAGCAGTCCTTTCTCAGACTCCTTGTGCCGCCCTTCCTACTTATGTGCTTGTACTATGACCTGCAAGAAGCAAGAAGAGTCACCACTTTTCTCCACATAAATGTGAAGCTGAGACATGAACAATAAGTGAGGGCAGCCTCTGGGGCACAGGTTTTTCTTTCAAACACTCCACAAGGAAGGCAGACAAGTGTTAGCTTTCGCCTTTTGTGGATGAGGCCACTGGGGCACAGGCTGCGGTGCAAATCAATGCATGGAGAACCGTAGAGAAGGAAGCAGAAGCAGGAGGCCACAGCCTTTGAGCAAAACCTCATCTGCTAGTTGCTGGAGTTCTGTGATTAAAACTGTGGCTGAGTGTGATTGACAGCCTGGTGTATGCTGAGCTTCCTGTGCTAGAACATGTGTACACTCTAGTTCCCCACCAGTTTCCTTCTGTGATCACAACGGTATTTTCCTGCAAGCCTGGACAAAGAGCAAAGGAATCCAAAGATTCTCAACCTGAGCTTTTCAGCCCCAGCCTCACGCATGAGTAAGGAGGGACGAGCAGGCAGATGCTGAGGAAGCACTGTACTCCAGCCTGCTGCACGTCTCTGGGCTTGTGTGGGCACAGGGGCAGGGGGCAGTGTTAGGTGACCATGGCAAAGCTGGCAACTGGCTGATCAAAAAGGCCTCTCCTAGGGTCTCCAGTGTCACCTTCAAGGGATTTATTATACAAGTAGAAATAAAGTATTTGCTTACAATGTATGTGACACTGTCCTAGGCTCTTTACAAGTGTTAACTTCCTACTGCTGCTGTAACAAATTACCAAAACTGTAGTAAATTAAAACTACATTTGTTTTCACGTACTTTTTGGGTTCAGAAATTTATTTCATTTTATGTATTTATTTTGGGTTCAGAAATTTAAAGTGGGGCCGGAGAACTATATTCCTTTTCTTTTTGAAACAGGGTCTCTCTATGTAGCTCATGCTTGCTTTGAACTCATTATGTAGCCCAGATTGGCCTTGAACTCATGGTGATCCTCTTGTCTCAGCCTCCTGAGTGCTGGGTTTGCAGGTGTGTGCCAAGACACTTAGCACTTCATTGTTTTTGGAGGCTCTGGGGGAGAATTTGTTTTCTTCCTTTTTGCAGCTTCTGAAAGCTGCCCATATTGCTTGGCTTATGGCCACATCACCACCATCTATGCCTCTGTTCTCACATTTCCTTTGACTCTTGTACTCTTGCTTCACTCTAAAGAACATTTGTGATGATCTTAGGCCCACGCATATAATTCAGGACAAGCACTTCAAGAAGGTTAATCACATCTGCAAAGTCCCCTTTGCCAGACAGGTAACATACTTACAGGTTTTGGGGATTAAGATTTTGGGTGAGAGTGACTGATCATTATTCTGCCTACAATAGCAAACATTAACCCTCCTAACCTTAATAGCAACTCTGAAATATGCACTGTCATCATTTTGCACATTGAGATGCTAAGCCAGAGGTCAAGGCCATTGCCCCAGGCTGTGTACTTGGTATCCAGCAAAACTACAGTTCTATCTCCCAAAATACATCTCCCGAGGCTGTGCTGACGGCCACCACATGTCAGGCCTTGGAACTGCTATGTAGGCAGGTGTATACTCTGATTTCTCAAGCCTCACCCACATGCACACATACGCATATATATGTGCCTTTCATGTGTGTCTGTTCTACTCAAACATGCAGACACTTCATATGTGAATATGCACACAGTACCTGAACACATCCAGAAACATTCCCTATGTTTATATACACTCACACTGCACACAAGTACACATGCCCTGTACATACACATTTTTAATACTATGTCATGTACAGTCACGCATAAATATGCACACATAGCAAATGTGCTTTGATACTATTTGCACACACAAATATCCTGATAGCCACATAATGCCCCGATACATCCTTGCACCTCCACGTCCACAGAACCATGCAAACATAGTCCCTTCTAAAGAAATATGACATGCCTGCAATGACACACAGAACTTGTAGATGAATACACTATTCACACACTTGGTAAATACCTATGCTCTCCACATACATAACTTACCTACACATGCACACACCACATACACAACATACTCTTCATACCTGAAAGCTGTCCTTCATCTCAAAACACTGTGCCGTGTCCTACTTACGTTTACATACCATGCATATGTTCTCAAGTGTTGTGCACATGCACACGGGGTTCCTGGGCACACCCTGCACACCCACGTGGGTCTGTGAACACACACTCCTCTAATACATTTTGTATACATTTCCTGCAGTTAGACAAATGCACATCTTACTCTGCAGGCCTAAACCTACCCTGAGGTCACTGATTTGATCGCTGTTTCTCGAGCAAGCACACCGCGCACCCCGGGACTTCAGCGGCTCAGGTTGGACCAATTCCCGGGTGAGCAGGCTAGGCCCGGGGGTGGGGCTAGTGGGCTGCCCCGCCCACCCCCTGTCGCGGTGTGCCGCTGCGAGCAGCCCCGGGCTGTAACCCTCAGCCTGGACCGAAAGTAGTTCCAATACCATGTTTGTTAACTAGGTTATCTAGGCTGTGGAAGATTTTAATGTTGAATTTTATAGCTTTACCACGCTCTGCCGTCCTTGTGAATATTGTAATATTGCATTTTTTACAAGTTACTCTTCTGTTAATGTTCCAGCTAGTAACTTTTATAATCCTCCTCAATGAAATTTTTTTGTATTCTTCCGCACCGTTAACCCCAATGGCGGCGCCTCGGCCCCTGGCAGGAGGCAGATATGAGATGAATTCCTCTTTAATCAGAAATAATAATAATAAAAACACACGCGGCTCCGTTGCCTCTCGCCCCGGCTTCCCTCGCGCCACCGCCGCCTCCCGGCTGCCCGTGGGGCCAGCGCCGGGCCTCGACGGCCCGGGCCTGCTTCCATGCCTGCTCCCGCGCCCGCTCCCGCTCCTGCTCCCGCTCCTGCTCCCGCTCCGGCTCCTCATCCCCCCGCGGCGCTGCGGCCCAGCCGATGGCGGCGGCTCCCTTCCCGCCGGTCCGCGCCTGTCCCTGTTGTGGACTTCTTCCTTTTCAGCCTTGTCCTTTTCCATTTCTTTATCCTCCACACTTTCCATCACCACACTCATTCTTTTTTTTTCCGGAACAGGGGATTGAACTCAGGTCCTTGCACTTGCCAGGGAAGCGCTTATTCTACCTTTCCTCAGATGATCCGAAATCAAGACCAGGTATGGTGGCGCATGCCTGTAATCCCAGCGCTGGAGAACACAAGAGGATCACTACGAGTCCGAGCTGCATAGTGAAGTGAGACCTTGCACCAAATACATTAGAAAAATAAAATAAAAACAAAAACAGAAAAGCCAAAATCATCAGTGAGAGGGAAAAGGAGAGGGAAGAGTAGTCCCGGGTGGGCGGCTCTTGGGACAGCTTTAGCACCGCGCTGGCTTTGGGTACATTTGAAAGCACATGGCTAGGAAGCCAGGAGAGGAGGAAGGCCATCGCAGAGGACAAGGTTAGCTGGAGTGGGAAGGCCAAGTCAGGGCCCAGCTTTGGGGTGTGGGGTGGGACAGATTTTTCCCCGAGTTTCCTCTGCGCAGGGAGAAAGACACACTGCGAGCCATCGGGAAGGTGGGCAGCTTCCTAGAGGCGGGGCTGCAGTTTGGGCTGGGGTCTCCGCCAGGGAGGCCGCGGGTGCGCGCTTTTGCACCGATCATGCCTGTCTGTCTGCGTCGGCAGAGGCACGGGAAGGCATGATCCAGGAGACCAGCAGAGTTGATTTAGTCAGTGAGTTTTACTGTGCAGCTACCTTGCTCCAGGCCCTGTGCTAGACACAGGGAGCACAGTGATTCTTGAAAACACAGTTCTTGACCCGAAGAACTTACGAACTAGTGGAAGTCACAGATATTAACCAAATAATCATCCCAGTGTGTCTTTGAAAACGGATCACTGCTAAGGATTTTGAACTGGAGACTATATCCCAGCTTTCTGGGAACCCTGGAGATGAGGGAGCAGGCTGGGCTTAGGGCCTGTCTTCAATGCACATAACACCCCCTTCCCCCTTTATAGGTCGTGGAACTCCCCGCAGAGAGGTCTCATCCTGTACTGAACGACTGTACTCCTAGCAGATTCCAGATCTGCCCACAACGGCTTGCTCTTTCCTGCAGAAAGCATGTCGGTCCCACCACGTGAGAACAAAGCTGCCCAACATCTGGAAAGCGGAGCCCTGGCTCAGCGAACATCTGGAGCGCCAATGGTGGCGGTCTCGGAAGGGTTGGGGTAGCGAAGTGGAAGGACGGGCTCTCGGGCCTCTGATGCCCTTACCCCGCGCCCCTTGCTTGGACACGGCCCGCATCCACCTTGGCTGGGTGCTGAGCGCCACCCGCCCCGCCGCGTCCGCGCAATCTAGGCTGGAGGAGCTGGTAGGCCGCTGCCCACTCGGCCTCCCCGGGTTCGGCCTCCCCCGGCCTTCCCCAGCCGGCGCTGGCTGGGTAGCCCTGCCCCGGGACTTGCTGCGGGGCGGGGGGCGGGGCGGGGCGGGGCGCTGCGCCGCCGCTGTGCGGAGCGCGGAGGCTGCAAGCACACGCGACAGTAAAACATCTGTAATGTGCCATTCTCCGCTGCTCGCTGATTGCTCATGGATTAAAGATTAAAATCTCGGCTTTGGCAGATGGGGAGAGAGAGGAAACTCTTACGAGCACGTTTTGCATCTGCATTTCATTCTGCTCCGCTCCCCGCGGCACCCCGCCCACCACCTCCCGGTGGTCGCCGCGCGGGCCCGGGCCCAGGCTCCCCGCTCCTCCCTGCCGGGGTCCTCGCTTCTCCCCGCGGTCTCGTCCTCATTTAGGCTTCCACCTCCGTCGCGCGATCACTGCCCACTCTTGCCCAGACGCCTGGATCCGCCCCAAAAAGCGCCCCCGAGCCTAGGGTCTCCAGCCAGGTGCTCGCCGAGTTACAGTGCTGCTGCCGGAAGCTGGGGAGGGCCGAGGCGTGCAAGGTGGATCCCGGAGTCTGGAGAAAAGTAATTGTGGTAGAGTCAAGTGTACTTCCCTGGGAAATCGAGCCCCCTCTGCGGTTGTCACACTGAGCTGCTGCGGAAGAGGGACTGGGTGGGAGGACACCTGGGAGTTCTCAGGACAGGAAGGAGAGGGTCCCCAAAGCACCCTTGTAAATAGCCTGGTTCTAAACCTGGGAGGAGTGTGTTTAGCCACCGCGGGTAGATGGCTCTCTCCAGAATGTGTCCCTGGGGAGGAAACCCAGGCAGGGAGAACTAGACAAAGGGCTTCCAGAAAGACAGACAGGCATTAGAGAGACAGAAAATGGAACAAAAAGCACAGAGTTGCCTGGCAGCTGTGCGCACCTGCAGCTTATGGGGGGGCAAAGGCTGCAAGCCCGGCTGAGGGGGCCCTGCCTCCTTTCAGGGCCTGGTATGGAGCAGGGTTCAGTTTAGGGTAAGCAGAAGAAAAGCTGAAGAAGGATGAATGGAAGGAGGGTCGTTGTGGCAGATGTAATTAATTAGTGCATATTAAAATATTTGTTTACAAAGATGAACAACGGCTGGAGGTCTGATGGTAATTAATTCACAGCACTCCCAGCCCTCTTTGAGCCTGGGACATCCTGGGTC